AACCATTATGAGATTTAGCTCTTATGTTGACCTTTGATCCATCTCAGGTTATTTTTATATACGCTGTGAAGTAAGGATCCAACCTTGTTCTTTTATGTGTCTGCTCTCCACTTGTACCAGTACCATTTGTTGAATACCGCTCTTTTTATTGAATAATCTTGGCAACCTTGCTAAAAATCACTTGACTATATGGATTTCTGAATTCTCAATACCGTTCCATTGATTTACATGTCTGTCCTTATGTCAGTATGACAGTTTAATCACTGTGGTTTTATAGTAGTTTTGAAATTCCAAGCGTATTCTTTTTTTAATACTTAACTTTATTTGGCTGCACCGGGTCTTTGTTGCATCACACCAGATCTTGCGTTGAGGCGCACAGACTCTAGTTGCCGCATCAGGCTCAGTAGCTCCGGCACACAGGCTCAGGTGCCCCACGCCCTGTGGGATCCTAGTTCCCCAACCAGGGATCGAATCTCCATTCCCTGCACTGCTAGGCAGATTCTTGCCTGGACTACCAGGGAAATCCCCAACTGTGTTCTTCTCTGAGATTGTTTTGGCTGTTCAGGGTCCCTTGCAATTGCATGTGAATTTTAGGATCAGCTTTTCCTTTCTCTGTGAACCCTCACTGGGGTTTTTGATAAGGATAGCGTTCAGACCTGTAGATGGCCTTGAGTGGTATTGCCTTGCCTGCTTCTGCACCGTAGAGCAGAGCGGTGTTTTACAGAAGGCTGCAGCCCATGTTACCTGGAGAGCTTGTGTGAGACGTCCCTCTTGGGCTCCAGCCCCAGAGTCTGATGTGGAAGGTCCGACCCCTGGCCCAGAAGGGTGCCCGTTTCACAAGGTCTGCGAACGAGCCCCCGTGACTCCAAGCTTTGAGAACCACTGTGGTCTTACTCATCTTCCTCGGGAGGGTCTGGGGTTCAGCAGGAGCGAGCCTCCCAGTTTGAGATGGCCAGCTTGTGGCAGAGCAGTCTTCACAGCCGCCTCCTGTTCAGCCCCTCTCAGCGCTCTGGCCCTGTTTGACCACGGGAGTCAGGTGATTGAAACCTGTTCCAGTGACTTTTGTGAAGCAACCTCTGCCGGGCTATGTTCGGGAGCTCTCCGGGCAGGTGGCAGAGGGTGGGTGTCTGTCATGGACTCTGGCTGGGCAGGTGTCTGTCTGCTCGCTGCTGCCTCCACTTAACCCCTCTTCTCCTGGAGGCTGGGGCGGTGTGCCCGTCAGACCTGCACTGAGTCCTCGATTGAGCTGGGAGGCCTTCTTATCATCGCATCTTGTTTCTTGCCATCTGTCCTCGGATGTGTTTCCAAACTTCTGTCTGTCTGAATACTTCCAATCTCAGAGCCCTCGAGAGGCTGTCCACATTCTGGTTCTCAACAGGCCGCTCACAGCAGCCACCCAGAGAGACGGCCTTTGAGATGCCTCACTGGGCATTCTGGTTGTGTCGTGCAGGTAGGGTGGGGGGTGTTCGTTGAAGACACTTTTGTTCAGTTGTTAAGCCATGTCCAACTCTCGGCAACCCCATGGACTGCAGCACGCCAGGCTTCCCTTTCCATCACCATCTCCTGGAGCTTGCGCAAACTCATGTCCATTAAGTTGGGGATGCCATCCAACCATCTCATCCTGTCGACCCCTTCCCCTCCTGCCTTCAGTCTTTCCCAGCACCAGGATCTTTTCAAATGAGTTGGCTCTTCGCATCAGGTGGCCAAAGTATTGGCGCTTCAGCTTCAGCATCAGTCCTTCCAATGAATATTGAGGACTGATTTCCTTTAGGATGGACTGGTTTGACCTCTTTGCTGTCCAAGGGACTCTCAAGAGTCTTCTCCAGCCCTGCCTCGGCTGGTTCGCAGACAGTGGCCAATATAGGCTGTGGTGCTGCTGGCACGCAGGCGATGCAGATGCAGCCTGCCCGCCTGGCGGGGGTGCCTGGAACGGCTGAGCCACTGCCCATGCAGTGGGATCCCCTGGCCGGGACCACGCTCCTTCTGTTTCCCATGGGAGCACGAGCTCTTTGAGAACAGGGACGTGCAGGGGCACCTCTCCCTCCAGGATGTGTTCACGCAGGCGGCTGGGGAGCCTGAGGCCCGGCGTGCTAGTTCACCTGTCGGCGGCCAGCTGCTGCCAGGTGCTTGACGCCCTGGAAGACTGTGAGCGCCACTACCACACTCCGCACAGACACGTCTGCTCCTTCTGCAGGCGGGCCTTCCCCTCCGGTCACCCGCTGGACACCTGCGTCCTGGAGTGGCATGCCCCGCCTTCCAGATCCCGGCCGGGCACAGGACATGTACCAGAGCCGGTGGAGGACTGCACGGAGGCGTTCGGGACCAGCAGAGACCGTGAGAAGCACCTGTGACGCGCCCCCTCACCCTGCAGACTCCCGCCTTGCTAAGCCAGGGAAAAGCGGAGGCCCAGCTCGCAGATGTCAACAGAAGCCATGGGGGAGGACCGGGTGCCCTCGGAAGGAAACTCTACGGAAGTCTGCTCTGAGCACGCAGAGGCCCCCCCAGAACCTCCGAGAGAGAGGCGGGCCTACGGCCACAGGATGCCGTCACCATCTGTTCCGGTCAAGGTGCCGCAGGAGGATTTAAAGCGCTGGGGAGAGAGACGGGCACCAGTGACGGCGGGCACGCTGCTGGGCTTCTTCTCCCGGCCCGCGGGCGCCCGGGACCCGGCCCACCGCCCTCCTTGTGTTGGGCCCCGTGATCGACCAACTGACCGAGGCCAGAGGCCGGGGGGATGCCATGGGGGACCCACAGGTTCTGGAAGGGACCCCCTGTGTGGTGACCGGGGTTCAGGGAGCAGCCGCCACCCCCACTCTGTCCTTAGACACGTGGATAAATGGTTTTCCCTAAGTGTTGTAAACAGTTTGTGACACCTGGAGTAACGGTTCTCATTTAAGGGGGGAAAAAAGTCTTCTCTAGCACCACAGTTTGAAAGCATCAATTCTTCAGTGCTCAGCCTGCTTTATGGTCCAACTCTCACATCCGTACAGGACCACTGGAAAAACCACAGCTTTGACTAGAGGGACGTTCGTTGGAGAAGTGATGCCTCTGCTTTTTAATACGCTGTCTGGGTTGGTCACTTTAATAGGAGATTGAAGACGCAGGAAGGGAGCTTGGTGGGGAGGCACTTGAGGAGGGTGGGCTCCAGCCGACCCCGTGGGCGAGGGGCAGGCCGTGGAGATGGGGCACGCTGCTGAGGACTGTCCGCCTGGCTCTCCAGGTGGCGGGGACCCAGTCCCACACCTGTGCTCTGGGCCCACAGTGCCCTGAGGGGGCTGCTGACGGGCAGCGGGGCAGGGGCCAAGGGGGCCTGTGTTAGCTCAGAGCAGTCCAGGGGGTTGCGGAGCCCGAGGACGGACAGCAGAGGGGTGGGGGTGTCCCCCTCCTCCCTCCTCTCCTCCCACGTGGGCACCAGCCCTCGCCCCCTCCCTTTCCCAGTCCCCCCACCCCAGCACAGCTTTCCAGTCTGTCTCTCCATGTTCTGCTCATCCACAACACACGGCCCCGAAAGTCGGTGTCTTCCGACCGCAGCTGACGGCTGTTACCTCTCGGGAGGCTGGGCCCGGGGTGTGGGCAGAGTGCAGCGTGGACCGCTCCTCTCTGCCTCACCGCAGCGGGGCCTTGGGGGCCACGCACCCTTCTCTCCCTCCTCGGGACACCCACACCGCAGACCTCACGGCCGCCCTGAGAGGGGGAGCCAGGACTGCCCGCCGCTCCGGACCAGGCTCAGCCCTGCCTCCTCGACATTGATGCGTGTTCTTTTAGCCCAAGAAGTGAGACGGGGTTCCAGGGCTAGGCGCAGACCCCGTCTCAGTGGGGCCGAGGAGCTCACGGCCCCAGCTGACGTGGGAAGGCAGCTTTTCCTGCTGACCTTCTGAATTGAGAGGGTTTAGGGGGCACCTCAGCTCCCAGCCCGGGAGTTCTGATTGCACCTCATGGACAGAGTGCTGCGGGCTGTGGTCGGCACGTGCCCCCGCCCCCAGCCGGCTCGGGGTCCCCAGGGTGCGTCAGTGGCCCTGGTACTCTCAGAGCACCGTGAGGACGCAGCCCCACCGTCTCCGCTCAGGCCTGCTTTGCAGCGTGAGAATCCCTTCCCCGGGTGCCTCACCCTCTGTGGGATGGGGTGTGCTGAGCAGGGTGTCTGGCTGCCTCACCTGCCAGCTAGTGTCCTGCGATGCTCTTGGCAGCTCCGCTCTTGGCTGGCCCGGCCCCGTCTGCCTGACAAGTGGCAGAAGAGAGGGGCTTGGGGCATGAATGAGGAGGCCCCCCTCCCACACCCTGCCTCAGCCCCCTCCCCGACCAGTGCCCACTTAGATGGAGCTCCCGGACGGGGTCACCTGCCTCCTCCCCAGGGGCACTCTGTCCCAACACACTCGACAGCAAGTGCATTTTTGGGTGACTTTTATCTAAGATTAAGCTTTAGTTTTGAAATCTTCAGACTAACAGAAAACTTAGAGGCAGCAGACTTCCCTGCTGACCCAGTGGTAAGACTCCGCGCTTCCACTGCAGCGGCTGCAGGTTCGATCCCTGGTTGGGGAAGTTCCGTATGTAGCACGGTGCAGCCAAAAAAAAAAAAGCAAACTTTCGGGCAGGTACTGGTAGACTCTGGTAGACTCACCCACAGTGACGCCCGCATGGGGCCACGTGTACTCTCTCCAAGCGTGACCCTGTGAGCGCCCTCAGGGGCCAGACCCCCGCCACCTCCTCCCCGGTGGCCCCCACCGTCTGTCGCCGCCTGCATGCAGCACGCCCCCCACGTGGCCCCAGACCCCACGCGTTTTCTCCTGGCGCCCCTCCCTCCTCATCACCTGGCCCACCGCTGGGCGCGGGCAGCCAGGCTCCGTGTCTGGGGGGACGCCCCTCAGTCTGGGTCTGCTGGGCACCCTGTCCCCGCAGGGCTGCCTCTGTGCCCACTGCTCCCGCCGTGCCAGGCTGCCGCGGGCTGGCGGGAGCCTGTCCCCCCTGTAACCGCATGCCCCCACCTCCTTCCCTACTTCCAGCCCGCTGGGGTCACCTTGGTCAGCGTCCACTGCGGCCCCGACGACCAGACGCTGTGGGCCCTGGACAGCAGGTGGAACGTGCATGTCCGAGCTGGGATCACCGAGGAGATGCCAGTGGGGACCGACTGGGAGCACGTGCCAGGTAGCAGCGCCGGGCAGGCGGCGGCCACACAGGGCTTGTCAGACCGCCGACAGCAGGCTCTGCGCCCGTCCTCCCAGGGTGGGGACCCCACCAGCAGAGCACTGCCTCCCGATCCCTGGGGTTCATTGCAGGACGGTCTTTTCCCGACCGCCAGGGCCTCTGGTCCGATGCTCACAGCCACACCTGCTCTGCCGACGGGGCATCCTTTCCCGGGGCTCCCGCCCTGTGCCCGGGGGGTGGGGAGGGGAAGCAGGCTCTTGGGGAGGGTCGGTCCATCCCTTCTGCACCCGGGGTCTGAAGACAGACGCACACCCTGTTTGCCTGCAGGGCTGCAGGCCTGCCAGCTGGCCCTGAGCGCCAGGACCGTGTGGGCCCGCTGTCCCAACGGGGACCTCGCCCGACGGTACGGCGTCAGCGACAAGAACCCTGCTGGGGACTACTGGAAGAAGATCCCGGGGAACGTGATGTGTGTCACAGGCAGGTGCTGGGTGCTGGGCACCATGGGTGGTGCGGGGGGGGGTCTCGAGGGGCTGCTCCCACTAGGCTGGTTCTCCCAAACAAGACCCATCCCAGGGTCACGCCTGATGGGCGCCCAGCACCGACTGCCAGGGTCTCCCAGGAAGAGGAGGAGCCTTCCGCCCGCTGGAAGGCTGAGGAGGCGACGGCGCAGGTTGAGGGGTGCCCGGGGCCACCCCACGCAGTGCCTGCGGAGGTGGAGCCCCGGCTGGGGAGTAACAGGCGTGTGGCCGGCTCTCGTCCCTGCAGTGACCTCGTCGGACGAGCTGTGGGCAGTGGGCCCGCCCGGCTACCTCCTCCAGCGGCTGACAAGGACATTCAGCCACTCGCACGGCGCCCAGGGCGGCCACGCCGCCACCCCCCACCCCGAGGACCTGGAGGATGAGTGGGAGGTCATCTGAAGGTGCTCCCGGGAGGGCGGACGCGGCACCCCGAGCGGGGACACAGACGGCTTCTGAGTCACTCGCCCTGGACACGCCTCGCAGCCCCCATCAGACACGTCTAGCCAGGTCGGACAGCCCACTCGTTTTCACCCGTGTTCATCTGAGTCTCGTCCCAGAACCCACAGCCTCGGCTGAGGGTCCGAGCCGTCATGGCAGCAGCGGGACTCCCGCGGAGGCCGTCCCGGGTGGGGCCGGCAGCGACTGCAGCTGCATGTACTGCAGTCCCTGCCGTGCGCCATAGCCGCCGCCTCAGCACTAGCCGCCCCGAGCCCGGGGTCAGCGATGCTGGCTCCCGAGCGCGCTCCCGCTGGAGCCCTCGCCTCTATTATGAGACACGGTTCCCGGCACATGTTCTGCGCGGACCCACCAGATGGGAAGCCAGCTGTGCCAGGACAGGGGCACGCGGCACACGCACGCACACGACACATGCACGCACGCGCACGCACACACCCCGCCTTGGGGCCAGGCCCGCCCTAGCAGACACAGCTTGGCTGAAACAATAAAGGCCAGTGGGCGAACGGAACCCGACGTGTGCGTGGGAACCCCAGGCGCGGGGCCGGCCGTGGGGCCCCAGCCCCGCTGTGACGTAGGAACGTCTCAGTGACACTCAGCCCGCGCTGCTGGGGGCATCGCAGAAACCCGAGCACCCTCAGAGGGCAAACCTACTAATGATGGCCTTTTCTGCTTGTTGTATTACAAACCTACATGAGATACCTCATCTGAAATCCGATCTTACAAGTTTGAAATGTATTTTCTGGACCCAGTGGAAGGCCTCTCGCCCCTTCTCGTGGTCTCTCCTGAGCCCGCGCTGTTCTCCGCTTCATGTCCTCCCCGGGCAGGGCAGCCCCAGGACCTGCCGCCGACTCCCAGCAGCGCCAGCCTGTCTGCGGGCATCCACCTTGGGAGGGTGGATGCCCTCACAGGGCCGCTGCTGGTGCCTGTATGGTCAGCTGCTGCGTGGGCCATCCCAGACTTCAGTCCGGGGCCTCGGCCTGAGGGGCCCACTTGCGTTGCCGGCCCGGAGCAGCAGCCCCTGCCGCCCCTCCCTCCGCAGCCGCCCTGGCACTACTCCGGCCAAGCTGCTTTTTTTAGCCTGCCCTTGGCGCAGGGCACTGTTACTCGATGCCTGTTTTCTACTAGGCAGGCGTGTCCGAGAGCCCCTGGGCCACAGGTGAAAAGCGATAAGATATGCTCTGTGGCAGGACCCAGCCAGCCAGGAGGACGGAGCTTTCCCAGGTCTACCTAAGGACGAGAAGCCGCAGCGCCTGCCCGCACCTCACCCCTCACCCCTCACCCCGACAGAGCCCCTCACGCGTACCGACAGCGGAGGCCCCTCTCCTGCACCCGCTGTGCCTTGCCCGGCTCCTCTCCCGCTCGGCAGAGCTCCGCCGAACCTGCGGGGCTTCAGTGCAGTGAGACCCCCGTCTGGTTTGACACTTCCCAGTGACTTGTAGCTTCAGTGCTTTGTACAGTTTCTGGTTTTTCAGTTGTGCTTTGAGACAGTGCAATAAACTTGCCTCTCCCCGCCTAGTCCAGTCTGACGTCTGAGGGAGAAGCCGCCCTGAGTGGCGCTCCTGCAGGCTGGCTGCTGTGTTCCTGGCCCAGCCCCCCGCCAGGAGGGTGTGCCGGGGGCGGCCCTGCGGAGTGTCACTCCAGAGGCGCCCCTGGGGGCAGGCTCTGAGGGCAAGACCACGGGCCTGAATCTCCACCCACGGCCCAAAAGCAGATACCAGAAGTGCCCTGGTGGAAACCAGCAGGTGGGAGAAGAGCGTGTTCATGACACAGCAGGATGGCGGCGTGCCAGGAAACCACCTGAGTAAGACACGTCACTCAGTCAAGAGCCGGCCAGGCTTTATGGAAGACTTCCATGAAGCTTGACCGGGAAGGTGTGGCCGACATTCCTGAGGGCAAGCCACAGACACGGTGCAGACATCAGTCCTCTCCAAAGGCATCTATGGGTTTCTCTCCATTTGTCAAACTCCCCACTGGGATTCTTTTTGTTGGGGGAGGCAGAGAAGACTCCATAAAATAACGTTTGTGCCCACAGGCATGCTCTGAGGGTCTCCCAGCTCACTGGGGCTCCAGTGAGACCCGGCGAGGGGAAGTTGATGGAGGCGGCACAGCGCGCGCTGGGATTGGACCCAGCTCCGTGGGCTCCAGGCCTTGCTGGGAAGAAACAGGTGAGCGGTGCTGAGCGACGACGGCCCCGAATGAAGCAGGCCGTGGGTGGGCCGGCGGTGACACGGGGCAGCCCAGCAGGGCCCACGGGCCATTAGCCAGATGGAGATGGGGGAGACGACTGCGAGCTGGCGTGGACTTCAGCCTAACCGCTCGGGTGAAGCAGACACCAAGTGGACGAGGGGATCTTAGAACCAGGGGGCAGAGGACGTAACTGACTTATGGGTGGCAAGCGCTTTCTGAACTCCAAAGTGGTGGGAAAGTCAGAGGAAAATAGCTTATTATTTCCTCAAATTATAACAATCCTATACATTAAAAAAAAAAAAAACACTCAAAACTAAAAGGGGAAGCAACTGCAGCAAGTCGGAGAAACACCTGAGACCCCCGTGAACAGAGGTGAAAGGACACGGCCTTCCGAGCCCCCAGGGCACCCGCAAGGCTGGTGGCGCCCCGGCTCGGCCCTCCCGGGAAGGCGGCCAACAGCCCGGCAGCAGCCTTGCAACCCTCACACCCGTAGACCCCTACTTCCAGACACCTGTCCCCGAGAACAAACCTAAGTCAGGCGAACGGCTGCGGCATCCATAGGAATTGTGAAACACTAAAACAGCTGACTGACAGCAGCTGACACTTGGGAACATCCCTCAAACAGCACGCAGCTGTTACAGACCGCGTGTGCCCCTCGAGGAAATCTGCTGAGCAGTCTTAGGCAGTTTCACTGTATCAACGCTAAATCTCTTGGGCGTGGTAAGGAGAATGTGGTTTTGTAGGACTTCACACAGAGAGTAAGATGACACACGTGTCCGTGTTTCTCTCTTCTAACGTCTGGCGGGTTTGCAACATTTCATAGTAATCCCAGGGGACACGGGAGGGGCAGACACTACACACGCAGCTGGCCTTGGTGGCTGGGGGTCGCCTGTAGTGTACCTTTTTGTATCTTTTGAATTTGAGCCATGTAAATGTATTATTTATTCCAAAAATAAATAAAATTTACATTTTAAAGACTCAGTCCTCTCTAACATCAACTCCTTATCATACCAACACTAGTTGAATTAAATAATCACAAAATAAACACCAGAGGCTGTCTTACAAATGTTTTACAACATATGGAAATGCTTATTCTACAGTTAAGGTTTTAAATAATTTGATCTGATGTCAAATCTGTATGTAAGAAATAAGCATAGAAAAAATTTTTAGCATATGTATTTAAGTGCATAGAAAAAACTAGAATACACCAAAATGTGCGCAGTGGTCGCCTGGGTGGTGGGGTGCCCGCAGGCAGGCGGCCCTTGTACTTGGGGGGAGCTGCACGGTCAGGGCTCTGATCCATCCTGCCCTGGGTTTTCCGGCACAGTCTGAGTGTTCTATGAGCCTGCATCTATATGCAGAAATTTTTTCTTTTTAAAATCACTTAAGATATAGGAATCCCCTGGCAGTCCAGTGGTTAGGGGTCCAGGACTCCGAGCTTCCACTGCCAGGGCACAGGTTCCATCCCTGGGGTGGGGACTAAGATACCCCCAAGCCATGGCCAAGAAAAACCACTGTAGAAATCTCTTCACCTCTCTTGATTGGGATGGTTACACTTGTACTGACAGCAGACCTAACTCCTCAAGCCACACAACTGAAGTCTGCATTTATTATATGTCAGTCATGCCTCAATTTTAAAACAATGGGACAAAACCAGTCCCCACATCCACTCGGGTCTCCTGGAGCAGAAGCTGGTTCTCCACCACCTTCCCCAGGCACGCCTCCACGTTTGCCTTTCAGGAGGCATCCTTGTTCTGAATAGGACTGGGGAAAACTGCTCTCAGAATATTTGAAGGTTGAAGAAATCGGGAGGAAAGGAAATCAGCGGAGAAATCGAGGTAGTGATGGGAGAAGTCAGCACACGAGGCGGCAAAGCAAGGCCCCAGCGTGGGGTTGCATCACCACCGCCAAAGGGGGGCACAGTTCGGGGCTGTGTGTCCCTTCCAGGCTCCAGGAACAAGTCACAGCACCTCCCCGACAGGCATCTGGGGTGCCCAGATTCTGGCCCCAGAGCTCTCCTGGTTGGGACTTCACCAAGCCCAGGGGTGGGCATGCTGGAGGAAATCTGGCCGATGCCAGCTTTCCTTAGACAAGGTCCATGGAATGAAGGAAGCAAACAGAGGAACTCTGCCCCAGAGACGTGGGCCTTGCTCCAGGCAGAGCCGTTGCCTGTGAGAAGCCGCCAGGGCCACCCGCCGACAGCGGAGAGCCGCGTCTCCCGCCTGCCTCTGGCCCCTCCAGGCCCCCAGAGCTCATCGCCAGGGCGGCGGCGGTGATGGGGCTGGGGAGGGGCCCCTGCTGGCGCTGGAGGGCCCCGGGGAGCGATAAGACGAGCATGGGCCCGGCCACCCACGCGCCGGCCAGCGGCAGGGGCCAGATAACCCTGAGGCGTCTCCACCCCGCGCTGGGCTCCGGGTTCTCCGCTGACACCAGGGCGCCCTGAGCCAGGCGGCCCCAGGCCCCGCTCTGCCGCCGCACGGTGTCCTCGGCCTCCCCATGGCTCCCTGACTGGCCCAGCCACAGTGAGGACACCCCCACTGCACCCCACCCCGCAAGCTATGAAGCTGGGCTCTGGCTGGACCCCCCACCCCCGCTCTGGTGTCCAAAACTCCTGCCCGGATCCTGCGCTGCACACAAGGAGCCTCCCAGGGGCCACCTCCTGCTCACTGGACGATGGATTCTGTGGGGTCCCCACCAGGGAGCCCCCCAACCCTGAACCACCCCATCCTCAGCCCAAGGAGCTCACAGGAGTTTGTCACCAACCGGGCAGCTGTAGGTCTAGCGGGGAAGCGAATGAGGGCCTAGCCCTGGGCCTCGAGCCAGGAGGGCTCACCCCACAGAGGACAGAGCCGGAAGCAGGGAGACACGAGGGCAAGTCTGCACACCCTGCAGGTGCCCGGGCTCTCTCCAGGCGGAAGCTCCAGGGCACAAGGGCACCCCAAGTCCCCAGCACCTCCCAAGCAGGGCCCCCAGGAGCCACAGCACGTGGTCTGCACTTGCCATCTCCTCCAAGGAGTGTGCCTCCCCCAACAACACAGCCCCGGTCTTCATACCCCAGGGCTCCTGATGCCCCACATTCTAAGGTAGAAGAAATGTTAGTGTCCACTGCCCGCTAAGTGTCAAGGTTCAGAAAGGCTGTTTAACTGGGCCAGGACACACAGTGGGAAGGGCGAAGCCCTCACCCCCACCCGGAATCTAGGGTCGGCACTGGGCCCCACCGCCCTCCACTGTCCCCGCCCCCACAGGGCTGTGCCCCTGCCCACTCTACAGTTCCCAGGAACATTTAGGGTGCTTGGAGATGCTCCAAAACCCCTCTGAGGGCAGTCAGGGACACTGAGGGCCAAGGCAGGGATATGCCCAAAGTCACCCTGAGAAGTTGTGCCAGATACAGACCAGAACCAGGGAGCTCCCATCCCTCTCCTCCCCTCCCGCACCCACCACCCTGGCACTGCCGCCACCTTCCAAGCCTCTCCCGCCCCCAGCCAGGCTCCCCTCAGGGACGCCGGGGGCAAGGTGGGCAGTCAGAGTTCATTGGGGAGCTCCTTAGCCCTCTGCTCCTGGCAGCACATCGTGGCCCTCCAGCCCAGGTTGAATTTCACCGCCCTGCAGAATCCCAGGCACGACAACCTGGCCATCATCCCTGATCCCAGTTCTCCTCCGGGCATGTGCACTGCTTTCCCTTGGTCCCTAAGGGCCATGGTAACATCTGCCAGCAAGTCTCCATCTTCAAACCCTTCCTGCAGGAGCCAGCTCTACCGGCTGAGGCAGGAGCACTTGCCCACAGGGTGCTGCCAGAATCCACAGGTGCCATTGAACACCAGGGGCTGGGTCTTGGGAGCCCATGCCCAGGGTGAGCAGGCAGGCCTGGAGAAAGGCACATCTAGCCCTGGGTCAGGAGAAGCTGGAGCTGGGGGCCCGGGACCCAAGGCAGCAGCATCCATAAGAGCAGAGGTGAGAAGCAGGGGCCCTGGCACCAGCTGCTAGAGAGAAGGGGATAAGAGGATGAGTCCAGGCCTTAGGCCTGTGTGCTTGGAAGAGCTCCAACGACACCCAAGGAGCGGCGGTGGCCGGTGTGGGGTGGGGAGAAACAGGAGGTGCGGCCTGGGTCCTGCCCCCACCACCCGTCGCGCGGGCCCTCCTCTGTCCTCAGCTCTCAGGACCCGAGCCCGAGCCCACAGGGACAAGGCCCCTCTGGCTGACAGGGCAGAGGCCCTCCGGCCAGCGCCCTCGGCCTCTAGGCCTTTGCACAAGCCGGCCCCCGGCACCTGCCCAACCCCTCCTCCGCTCAGCTGTCTCTCCCTCTGGGACACCTTCCCGGAGGCTCTAAATCAAGGCGGGGCGCCGGTTCTAGGGTCTGAGCAGGGAGCTGAGGACAGGGCCCGGCTCTCGGAAGTCACCTGACCTCGCAGCACTGCTCCACGCACGCAGGGAGGTAGGGAGGTGGGGAGCTGAGCCCGGCCGCATCCGGAAGCCCCGCAGCTCACGGCTCGCCTGCCCATGCTGACCTGGCCCCCCAAAGCACGCCGACAGACGCAAACAGAGGTTCTGCCGTCCAGAAACAATTATATGTAAAGTGCCAGGTACAACGCTCTTAAAAATTGTATGCTCCATAAGTCCAGGGCCCGGGGCGCCCCCACGGTCTAGCCCTTGCCCGTGAGGTCCAGCGGCTGCAGGAAGGGCGGCAGCGGCAGCTCGTCTAGGGCTTCAGGGAAGCGGCCGGGCGAGATGGCGGTGACCAGCACCTGCATGGCGCGCGCGAAGAGCGAGGGCGGCGCAAGGCCCGCCAGCCACTGGAACTTCTCCTCACCCAGCAGCCGCCGCCAGCGCGGCCGGTCGCCCAGCAACTCGCGGCGGGCCGGGCCGGCGGCGTCCACGGGCGTGTACAGCGCCAGCAGATCGAGCAGCAGCAGGCGGCGCTGACGCGGCTCCCCGGGCGGCGGCGCGGGCGCCCCGGAGGCCGCGGAGGTGGCGGCCCCGGCGTCGCGGCCCAGCTGGCGCAGCAGCAGCTCGAGCGGCGTCAGGCCGCAGCCGTCACGCAGGCCCGGCGAGGCGCCATGGCCGAGCAGCAGGAAGAGGCACTCGGGGCGCACCAGCTCGCAGGCCACGTGCAGCGCCGTGCCGCCGCCCTCCACGCGGCTGCAGCCGCAGCGGTCGAGCAGGCGCGCGCGCTCCTCGGCCGGGAAGTCACGCACGGTGCGCAAGATGCGGCGCAGGATGCCCACGCGGTTGTAGCGCACCGCCAAAGCCACGTGCGGCCCCGGCGCCGCGCAGCAGCGGAATCCGGCGCTGGGAGGCGCAAGCGCGCGCCGCGGAAAGGTGGCCAGCAGGTAGTGCGCGTACGCCTGGTGGTCGTGCACGAGCGCATAGAGAAGCGCCTCGGACGGAGAGTAGGCGGCGGCGCGGCCGCGCTCATCCCAGTGGAAGGCCTCGCTGGCGCGCATGTCCTCCAGCAGCCAGACGGGCAGCAGGTCGCGCACGGCCTGGTAGAAGGCGAACGACGACTTGCGGCACTGCTTCTGCGCCCTGGAGCGCGCCGCCCCCGCGCCCTCGGGCCCGCCTTCCGCGCCGCCCCCCGGCAGTCGCGCGTCCCACGGCATGCTGGCTGGGCGTCCTCACCTCACGGCATAGGCCCCCGGGGGCCGACCACCTGCGAGCAGAGGGAGTCCAGTGACGGTCGAGGATCCAGGCGGGAGACGGGGGTGTCCGTCGGAGCCCCCCCACCTGGCTGGGCCTCTCTCGTAGCTGCCCCCCTACCCCCAGCCTCTGACCGGCCCTCCCGGCCACTCCTCAACAGCTCGCTTCTCTCCTCAAAAGGCCTCCCACATCCCGGATCTAGCGGCAGCGGGTGGCCCGCGCTGAGACTCGTCTCCTTCTCCGGTTCTTCTGCTAAGGACCCTCTTCCCCTGCCCTCACAGCCCCCACCTACCGTCGTGTATACCACACTGAAACTTCACACCCGCTCCCACCTGCGGCAGCTGCACCCAACCCCAATCAAGGAAAAAGCCAGGTCGGGGGTTGGGGGGGGGGGGGCGGTAGGAGAGCTGCATCTCACATCTCCAGCTGAACCAAATCCTTTCAGTAGCCCAAACTCCCTCTCCCCAACTCCATCTAACCTTCACCCTGGCATCTGACCCCTGCCTGCAGCTAGGAGACCCTGCCCAGGGTCAGAGCTCCAGACTCAGACCTACCTGGTAAGTGCACCGCAACGACCAAGTTCCGTGCAGGTGGGTGTATCACTGTCCTCTGAGCCTCAGCTTCCTCATCTGTGAGAAAGAGGGAAGGCAGGCTGGGAGCCACAGCAGGGAGCGAGGCCTCCAGCCTTCCACCCAAACATGGTGTTTCTGCGCCGTCCCCGCCCCCAGCTCCCGCGAGGAGGCAGGGGGATGAAATCAACCCAGAGACCGGTGTGTACACTCTTCAGGGCCTGCAGACCCCGCCCCAGGTCTGCTTGCTCCCTTGGTCGTCCCAGAGGCTGGACGAAGCAGGGCTTGCCATCCCACTTTCCAGCAAGGGACAAACTTGTCCAAGGTCAGCCGGCAAGTCATGGCAGAGCCAGGCCTGGACCCAAGATCTCCTACCTCGTATTTCGGACTCATTCCAAAAGTGGGGGGAACCGCCAACCCACTCGGAACCCAGCTTGAGCCCTAACCTTGTTCCCGGAGCCCCCTGCACCAACCTGAGCCCTGACTTCCAACCCCCTGGCCCCAGCTCCCCACCGCATTTTGTCAAGGGTAAGCCCTTGGGTCACAAGGGCCCTGGGTCAGCGGGTAGGCTGAGTCCACGCACACCCGGTAACTAAGTTACAGAGACGGGCACGGGGCAGGGGGCGGGAGGGAGTTGGAGCCACAGCGCCCTTTAAGGGGGCACCGTGACTGGAGAGCGGCGCCCCACGCCGGGGCCTCCGCACCCCGGGTGTACCCTGTGTGGACACTGGGCGCCGGGCGGGTTACGTAAAGTTGGGCCGTCCTCACGTCATCGGGCAGCGAGTCACGGTCGCGGCTCAGTGAATGGGGGTTGGGGGCTGGGCCACCGAGGGCAAGGCCTCGAGCCCAGGGCCGCCCGCCAGCTCCGCCCCGGCCCCCACCGGCCGCACGGCTGGACCTCGGGTCGCGGGGGGGCGAGGCCAGAGTATCTGCCGGCCGGTGGCCGGCGCAGCTACGGCTGCACCTGCGTGCGCGTGTGTCCAGGGAGGATGGGGGAGGGGGCGGCCAGGGGGTCGTGCCCGGGGCGGGAGCCGCACGCGCAGCGGGCCGAGAAAGGGGGACTCACCTTGGGGGCTGGAGGGGCCGCGAGCCTGGCGTCCCCGCCACCGCTGCGGGCGTGAGCGCGCGGTCTCCCAGCGGGCCGGTGGGCAGGCGAAGCTCCCAGGACGGACGGACGGACGGACGGACGGGAGGCTGCCGCCGCCGCCCGCGCCCGCCGCAGCCGCTCTCTGAGCCGCCGCTGCCGGATCGCTGGGCGGCGGTGCCGGCGCCGGCGGCGGGCGGGCGGCGGGCGGCGCAGTGCGGCCCCGGCCGGGCAGGACCGCTGGGCCGCCCGCCGCCGCCATTGGTCCGCGCCGCCGGCCTCCGCCGCCTCCTATTGGCCACCGCGCTGCACCATTGTTACGTCACCGGCCGGCGGGCGGGGCACCCGGGGGGACCCGCGGAAAAGTTGGGAGAAACTTGCGGGCGCATGGGGGGCGGGGCCGCGATGGGAGCGAGCGGGGCGGGGCTCCCGGAAACCCGAGTCGCCGGCGGAGAAGGGCTCCGGGCTCCAGGCGGGGGCGCCGCCCTTGCCGGCAGGGCCCCCCGGCCTGCGGTGCCTCCGCTCAGCGAGTCGGCGCTCGCACTGAGGCGCCCGGGCTCCGCCGAGCGGGACTGTCCTCGGCACCCCACGAGACGCCTTCCACGTCCCCTTTGCACGGACCCTCTGCGACCTTGGGGATGACCTCCGGGACTGTTTTCCCGGGACCGCACGTGGAGGGAGCGGGGAGAAGGAGCTGTGACCCCTAAGGGTCCGGGCATCTGGAGCCCCTGCTCCAGGCTGACTTTCCCAGGGAATGGATGGTGAACCGGATGCAGACAATCACTTATCAGTGCCGGTGCACCAATCGCTGTGCTAAACACGCTTGATTTCATTCCATTTTCACAGCCAGTGGCGGTGGGAATTATGACCCTTGATTGACCAACCATGAAATCGGGTCTCACAGGGAGGTGACCTCCGTATGTTGCTGTTGTCCAGTTGCTCAGTCTTGTCCGACTCTTTGCGACCCCGTGGACTGCGGCCCTCCGGGCTTCCCTGTCCTTCACCATCTCCCGGAGTTTGTTCAAACTCAAGTCCATCGAGTCGGTGATGCCATCCAACCATCTCTTCCTCTGTCGTCCCCTTCTCCTGCCTTCAATCTTTCCCAGCATCAGAGTCTTTTCTATTGAGTTGGCCCTTCGCATCAGGTGACCAAAGCATTAGAGCTTCATCTTCAGCATCGGTCCTTCAAGTGAGGAGCACACAAAAGGGAAGCTGGACACTTGTGTTTCTTTTCTTCAGACATTTATGGTTGAAGGTGCCCTGGCAGACCGGCCTTTCTACAAGTAGCACACATATGCCCAAGATCCCACCAGATCCTGCCACCTACCTTAGTGCAACATGGCCCTGCAGGCCCTACCATACCTTGGGGGTGGGGGTGGGGGGGGGTGCGGGGATCCATGATCAGCACCATAGTGCATGCCTGCTCAGTCGTGTCTGACTCTCTGTGGCCCCATGGACCGTAGCCCACCAGGCTCTCCTGTCTATGGAATTTTCCAGGCAAGAATACTGCAGTGAGGTGCCGTTTCCCACTCCAAGGGATCTTCCCAACCCAGGGATCGAACCTGTGTCTTTTCCATCTCCTGCATTGACGGTGGATTCTCTACCACTGGCGCCACCTGGGCAGCCATGACCAGCACCAGATGTACAGAGATGGTCATGGACCAAGGTTGGGGGTCCAGGGGACACTGGGCTGGGAGTCCAGGCTCCACCTCTGCCCCGCTTCACCTTTCATTGTGTCCTCCCCTCTTTAGGTCTCAGTCCTACATTTTCTCTCAGCTGTCCCGTTCCTGATGTTTCTGACTGGGGACAAGGCAAATGGAAATTCTGGGGTTGACGTTTGGCCTTTCATAGCCCGCAGGCCCTGGGAGACAATCGAATGGGGTGGTGTCCCAAGTGAGCTCCCTGTGGTTCAAGACGCTAACCACACGGCTGCCAGTGCCCGTCTACTCCTCAAGGGCCAGAGGCGAGACCTCACACCGTCTCCGCGGCTACCAGTGGACAGAGGGTGAGGGGCAGCGCCTGGAGGTGCCTGCCGTGCAGCTGGCCTCTGGGCAGCTGTCTCTCCACCCCCCGCCCTCTTGGCCCTCTGCTTCGACTTGCCCTCCCCACTGCTTGCTGCTGGCTTTCCCAAAGGGAAAGAGCCTTTCTGAAGGCCTCTCTCAACATCAAGTCTGGCCCTGTTGCTCCACTACTTAGAAGCTGCCCTTAGAAATGGACTTAGCCAGAAAGAGCAGGTGAGGCAGAGGAAAGGTGTTCCTGGTCAGGACTCAAACTGGGGGCAAAGGTCTGGACCGTGGCCGAGGGCGGTTGCCGAGGGCAGTGGGAGGGAAACCTAAGGTCTTGAAAGCCAGGACAAGGAGCTGGGGTTTGTCCTGAGGACCTGCAGGCGGAGGGGGTGGATTATTTTAGGCATAAATAATAGTATTAATAACTTTTCAATGCCTGGGAACCCGTGACCCAGGTTAGGAACGAACCCGTGGGGACGTTTGAAGGCCGGTGTGCCCGGCGGCCCAGCCCGGCGCTGGCGCTCCCCGCAGCGGTGGCGGACCTTGAAACCTTCTCCGTAGGCTCTGTCAGCTCCCAGCCTCGACAGGCTGCCCTTCTCTCCCAGGTCACTTTCGGACTCGCCCTCTGGGGTACGTGCTGCTCTGGGTCCCGCGCCATCCCTGAGGAGGAACCTTCTACTGGCGAGAGCTGCCTGTGCCCAGCACGGGTGTGGGGCCCCGGTGCTACTGTGAACGCCCTCCCCGCGCCTCCGTGGGGCTGTGATGGCTGCGAGCCGTCCAGGGTGGCCGTGGGGGCAGGTGCGACCTGCCCTCTGGGGCTGTGGACGGGGCTGGGAACAGAGCTTCCCCGGGAGGGCAGATGGGCTCGGTGGGGAGTGAAGGGGCTGGGGGTGGGGAGCGGGCGCAAGCCGGGACAGAGGGCTCAATTTCCACAGACTAAGGGGGGATCTGAGGGTGGGCAGACGGCCTTCTAAATATGGCTTTGACCTTTGACCCTGTCACGCTCCCACTCGGACCCGACCCGAGACACACTCCCCTCTCTCCTGGGAGAGCTCGTCTCACCTGCCGGCAGGTGTCCACGTGCGCCCAGGTCCGGAGGGACCCAAGGGTCAGTGCGAGGACTGAGGGAGCAAGGGCTCTGAGCGGGGGCCCGGCGGGGGCCGGGGGTCTTTTCTCAGGCCCCTCTGGCTTCAGGGAGCCAACCCCAGGGGCAGAGGGTAGAAGCCCCAGTAGCCGACTGGCCTGGGAAGGGGTGGCTGGGGTCAGCAGCAGGGAGCTCACAGGGGAGAAACAGAAGCAGTGAA